CACAATGTTATGACAGCTTATCTAGGGCTTCAACTGCTACCCACAGACTAGACCAGTACTAGGCTTGTCAGCTACCCACAGACTTGAATAAAGCTAGGCTTGTCACCCACCCACGGACTTAACTAACGCTAGACTTGTCAGCTACCCCACAGACTTAACTAACGCTAGGCTTGTCACCTTCCCACAGACTTGACTAACACTAGACTTGTTACCTACCCACAGACCTACCTAACACTAGGCTTGTCAGCTACCCACAGACTTTTCCAATACCAGGCTTGTCAGCTAACCACCGACCTAACTAACGCTAGGCTTGTCGCCTAACCACAGACTTGACTAACACTAGAATTGTCACCTACCCACAGACCTACCTAACACTAGACTTGTCACCTACCCACAGGCCTACCTAACGCTAGGCTTGTCAGCTGCCCACAGACCTAACTAACGCTAGGTTTGTCACCTACCCACAGTCTTCTCCAATACCAGGCTTGTCAGCTAACCACCGACCTAACTAACGCTAGGCTTGTCACCTACCCACAGACTTGACTAACACTAGACTTGTCACCTACCCACAGACCTACCTAACGCTAGGCTTGTCAGCTACCCACAGACCTAACTAACCCTAGGCTTGTCAGCTACCCACAGACTTCTCCAATACCAGGCTTGTCAGCTACCCACAGACCTAACTAACGCTAGACTTGTCAGCTACCCACAGACCTAACTAATGCTAGGCTTGTCAGCTACCCACAGACCTAACTAACGCTAGACTTGTCAGCTACCCACAGACCTAACTAACACTAGGCTTGTCACCTACCCACAGACCTAACTAACACTAGGCTTGTCACCTACCCACAGACTTCTCCAATACCAGGCTTGTCAGCTACCAACAGACCTAACTAACGCTAGGCTTGTCAGCTACCCACAGACCTAACTAATGCTAGGCTTGTCAGCTACCCACAGACCTAACTAACGCTAGACTTGTCAGCTACCCACAGACCTAACTAACACTAGGCTTGTCACCTACCCACAGACCTAACTAACACTAGGCTTGTCACCTACCCACAGACTTCTCCAATACCAGGCTTGTCAGCTACCAACAGACCTAACTAACGCTAGGCTTGTCACCTACCCACAGACTTAACTAACTCTAGGCTTGTCACCTACCCACAGACTTGACTAACAATAGGCTTGTCACCTACCCACAGACTTCTCCAATACCAGGCTTGTCAGCTACCCACAGACCTAACTAACGCTAGGCTTGTCACCTACCCACAGACTTAACTAACACTAGACTTGTCACCTACCCACAGACTTAACTAACGCTAGGCATGTCAGCTACCCACAGACGTAACTAACGCTAGGCTTGTCACCTACCCACAGACTTAACTAACTCTAGGCTTGTCACCTACCCACAGACTTGACTAACAATAGACTTGTCACCTATCCAGACTTCTCCAATACCAGACTTGTCAGCTACCCAAAGATGTCTCAGATACTAGGTTTGTCAGCTACCCATAGTCTTCTCCAATACAAGGCTTGTCAGCTACCCACAGACTTGAATAACACTAGATGTCTCAGATACTAGGTTTGTCAGCTACCCACAGATGTCTCTGATACAAGGCTTGTCAGCTACCAACAGACTACTCTAACACAAGGCTAGTCAACTACCAACAGACTTCTCCAGGACATGATGTAAGATAATACTAAGTATGGTGCTTTATACACATAAAACATAAACAGGATGTGGGACAATACTCAGTAAGATACTTTAGACATAAAACACCGACGGGACAAGAGATAATAATCAGTAAGGACTTTACTCATAAAACACAGACAGGACAAGAGATAATACTCAGTAAGACACTTTACACATAAAACACAGACAGGACAAGAGATCATACTCAGTAAGATACTTAACACATAAAACACAGACAGGACAAGAGATAATACTCAGTAAGACACTTTAAACATAAAACACAGACAGGACAAGAGATAATACTCAGTAAGACACTTTAAACATAAAACACAGACAGGACAAGAGATAATACTCAGTAAGACACTTTAAACATAAAACACAGACAGGACAAGAGATAATACTCAGTAAGACACTTTAAACATAAAACACAGACAGGACAAGAGATAATACTCAGTAAGACACTTTAAACATAAAACACAGACAGGACAAGAGATAATACTCAGTAAGACACTTTAAACATAAAACACAGACAGGACAAGAGATAATACTCAGTAAGACACTTTAAACATAAAACACAGACAGGACAAGAGATAATACTCAGTAAGACACTTTAAACATAAAACACAGACAGGACAAGAGATAATACTCAGTAAGACACTTTAAACATAAAACACAGACAGGACAAGAGATAATACTCAGTAAGACACTTTAAACATAAAACACAGACAGGACAAGAGATAATACTCAGTAAGACACTTTAAACATAAAACACAGACAGGACAAGAGATAATACTCAGTAAGACACTTTAAACATAAAACACAGACAGGACAAGAGATAATACTCAGTAAGACACTTTAAACATAAAACACAGACAGGACAAGAGATAATACTCAGTAAGACACTTTAAACATAAAACACAGACAGGACAAGAGATAATACTCAGTAAGACACTTTAAACATAAAACACAGACAGGACAAGAGATAATACTCAGTAAGACACTTTAAACATAAAACACAGACAGGACAAGAGATAATACTCAGTAAGACACTTTAAACATAAAACACAGACAGGACAAGAGATAATACTCAGTAAGACACTTTAAACATAAAACACAGACAGGACAAGAGATAATACTCAGTAAGACACTTTAAACATAAAACACAGACAGGACAAGAGATAATACTCAGTAAGACACTTTAAACATAAAACACAGACAGGACAAGAGATAATACTCAGTAAGACACTTTAAACATAAAACACAGACAGGACAAGAGATAATACTCAGTAAGACACTTTAAACATAAAACACAGACAGGACAAGAGATAATACTCAGTAAGACACTTTAAACATAAAACACAGACAGGACAAGAGATAATACTCAGTAAGACACTTTAAACATAAAACACAGACAGGACAAGAGATAATACTCAGTAAGACACTTTAAACATAAAACACAGACAGGACAAGAGATAATACTCAGTAAGACACTTTAAACATAAAACACAGACAGGACAAGAGATAATACTCAGTAAGACACTTTAAACATAAAACACAGACAGGACAAGAGATAATACTCAGTAAGACACTTTAAACATAAAACACAGACAGGACAAGAGATAATACTCAGTAAGACACTTTAAACATAAAACACAGACAGGACAAGAGATAATACTCAGTAAGACACTTTAAACATAAAACACAGACAGGACAAGAGATAATACTCAGTAAGACACTTTAAACATAAAACACAGACAGGACAAGAGATAATACTCAGTAAGACACTTTAAACATAAAACACAGACAGGACAAGAGATAATACTCAGTAAGACACTTTAAACATAAAACACAGACAGGACAAGAGATAATACTCAGTAAGACACTTTAAACATAAAACACAGACAGGACAAGAGATAATACTCAGTAAGACACTTTAAACATAAAACACAGACAGGACAAGAGATAATACTCAGTAAGACACTTTAAACATAAAACACAGACAGGACAAGAGATAATACTCAGTAAGACACTTTAAACATAAAACACAGACAGGACAAGAGATAATACTCAGTAAGACACTTTAAACATAAAACACAGACAGGACAAGAGATAATACTCAGTAAGACACTTTAAACATAAAACACAGACAGGACAAGAGATAATACTCAGTAAGACACTTTAAACATAAAACACAGACAGGACAAGAGATAATACTCAGTAAGACACTTTAAACATAAAACACAGACAGGACAAGAGATAATACTCAGTAAGACACTTTAAACATAAAACACAGACAGGACAAGAGATAATACTCAGTAAGACACTTTAAACATAAAACACAGACAGGACAAGAGATAATACTCAGTAAGACACTTTAAACATAAAACACAGACAGGACAAGAGATAATACTCAGTAAGACACTTTAAACATAAAACACAGACAGGACAAGAGATAATACTCAGTAAGACACTTTAAACATAAAACACAGACAGGACAAGAGATAATACTCAGTAAGACACTTTAAACATAAAACACAGACAGGACAAGAGATAATACTCAGTAAGACACTTTAAACATAAAACACAGACAGGACAAGAGATAATACTCAGTAAGACACTTTAAACATAAAACACAGACAGGACAAGAGATAATACTCAGTAAGACACTTTAAACATAAAACACAGACAGGACAAGAGATAATACTCAGTAAGACACTTTAAACATAAAACACAGACAGGACAAGAGATAATACTCAGTAAGACACTTTAAACATAAAACACAGACAGGACAAGAGATAATACTCAGTAAGACACTTTAAACATAAAACACAGACAGGACAAGAGATAATACTCAGTAAGACACTTTAAACATAAAACACAGACAGGACAAGAGATAATACTCAGTAAGACACTTTAAACATAAAACACAGACAGGACAAGAGATAATACTCAGTAAGACACTTTAAACATAAAACACAGACAGGACAAGAGATAATACTCAGTAAGACACTTTAAACATAAAACACAGACAGGACAAGAGATAATACTCAGTAAGACACTTTAAACATAAAACACAGACAGGACAAGAGATAATACTCAGTAAGATACTTTAAACATAAAACACAGACAGGACAAGAGATAATACTCAGTAAGATACTTTACACATAAAACACAGACAGGACAAAAGATAATACTCAGTAAGAAGTAAGATACTTTAGACATAAAACATGGACAGGACATGATACTTATTAAGGTACTTCACTTATAAAACATGGACAAGATTTGAGATGAGGATTAGTAAACTTACCACTAGGCGATCATGTTTGATGTCATCTACTTTGTCATCATCAAATAATGCAACCAGCTCCCCTGATTGGTCAATTGATGACAAGAAGTCATGACAAATTTTTCGACGTTTTTTCATTGGTTGAATCACTTTTTCACCTTATCAAAAGAAATGAGAATTATTAAGTTAAACAAGAGTACCGCGGGGCGGAACAAAATACGCCCGTCGAATGCCATATAATGTTATATACTTTCTTACATTGAAATAAGGTCTGCATCATTTTAAGAGTGGTTAGCTGATATGCTATAAACAAGAGGCCCAATGGGCCTGCATTGCTCACCTGGTATAAATCTCACACTTGTAACCTTAAAAGTGATCTAAAATAAAGCTACAGGCAAAATAAAATATCAGTATTTATGATTAAAATTCATTCAAAAGAACCTGGTGGTTTTTTTTAAACATTTCACCCCTTTGATTGAAAGTCGAACAAAGTCATTATGTTGAACAAATTTTATAGCCTTTCATCTCAGGATGCAACTTGCAAAGTATCAACATCCTGGGACCCATGGTTACTCAGAAGAGGTCGTTTAAAGATTTTAAACAAATTTGACCCCTGTGACCTTGAATATAAGTCAAAGTCATTCACTTTAACAAACATAGTAGTCCTTGATCCCGGCATGCTACTGACTAAATATCAACATCCTGAGCCTTTTGGTTATTCAGAACAAGTTGTTTAAAAAATTTGAACATATTTGCTCCTTGTGACCTTGAATATGATTCAAGGTCATACATTTAAACAAACTTGGTAGCCCTTGATCCTAGTATGCTACTGACTAAATATCATCACCCTGGGCATTTTGGTTATTCAGAAGAAGTTGTTTAAAGTTTTTAACATATTTGACCCCTGTGACCTTGAATATGGGTGAAGGTCATTCATTTGAACAAACTTTGTAGCCCTTCATCTCAGCATGCTACTGGCCAAATATCATCACCCTGGGCATTTTGGTTATTCAGAAGAAGTTGTTTAAAGTTTTTTTAAGACAATTGACCCCTGTGACCTTGAATATAATTGAAGGTCATTCATTTGAACAAACTTGGTAGCCCTTCACCCAAGCATGCTACTGTCCAAATAACACCTCCCTGGACAGTTTGGTTATCGAGAAGAAGATGTTTAAAGTTTTTAACATATTTGACCCCTGTGACCTTGAAAATGGGTGAAGGTCATTAATTTTAACAAACTTTGTAGCCCTTCATCCCAGTTTGCTTCTGGCCAAATATCATCCCCATAGGCCTTTTGGTTATTAAGAAGAAGTCGTTTAAAGTAAAATATTGATGCCCGACGACAGACGGACGGACGGACGGACAATGGACGCCGTGCCACGGCATAAGCTCACTTGGCACTTCGTGCCAGGTGAGCTAAAAATGTAAGAGAAAATCTGTAGGACAAAAATTCAAATACTGAAATGAACAAAAGGCAATAAATTTTGCAAAAATCGTCGAATCAAAATTCTTTTAAGGGAGACCCAACTTCATATCATGATTATAATGTATACCAAGTTTCAAATTGGTCGGTCGAAAAATGCAGGAGGGGATCTCCGGACAAAATTTAAATACTGAAATGAACAAGAGGCCCAATGGGCCTGCATCGCTCACCTGGTATTAATCTCACACTTGTAATCTTAAAAGTGGACTAAAATACAGCTACAGGCAGAATATCAGTGTTTGATTCATAAGAACCTATTAAAAGATTTAAACATATGACGCCTGTCACCTTGAATGTCGAACAAGGACATCAGGTTGAAAGTGGATCAAGGTCATTCATTTGATTAAACATGGGAGCCCTTCATCCAAGCATGCTACAGGCCCAATATCAGTACCCTGGGCGTTTTGGTTATTGAGAAGAAGGCGTTTGAAGATTTTAAGACATCTGACCCCAGTGATCTTGAAAGTTGGTCGAGGTCAAACATTTTAACAAACTTGGTAGCCCTTCATCCCAGCATGCTACAGGCCCAATATCAGTACCCTGGGCCTTTTAGTTATTGAGAAGAAGTTGTTTGAAGATTTTAAGACATTTGACCCATTTGACCTTGAAAGTTGGTCAAGATCGTTCATTTTAACAAACTTTGTAGCCCTCCATCCCAGCATGCTACAGGTTCAATATCAGTACCATGGGCCTTTTGGTTATTAAGGAGAAGTCGTTTGAAGATTTTAAAACATTTGACCCCAGTGACCTTGAAAGTGGGTCAAGGTCATTCATTTGAACAAACTTTGTAGCCCTTCATCCCAGCATGCTACAGGCCTAATATCAGTACCCTGGGCCTTTCGGTTATTGAGAAGAAGTTGTTTGAAGATTTTAACATATTTGACCCCTGTGACTTTGAAAATTGATGAAAGTCATTTATTTGAACAAACTTGGTAGCCCTTCATCCAAGCATGCTTCTGGCCAAATATCATCACCCTAGGCCTTTTGGTTACTGAGAAGAAGTTGTTTAAAGTAAAAAGTTGATGCCGGACGTACGACGGAAGGACGATGCACGTACTTCGGGCCAGGTGAGCTAACAAAGGGCAATAACTTTTGGAAAAATAGTTGAATCAAATTTCTTTTAAGGAAGACACAATTTCATATTACGATCATAACGTATACCAAGTTTCAAATAGATCGGTCGAAAAATGTAGGAGGAGATTGCCAGACAAACAAAGTTTACGGACCGACGTACTGACGGACGGACAACGCCATACCATAATACTACCGTCAAATTTGACGGTCGTATAAAAAACAACTTTTTGTAATCATGGCTGCTAACTCACCTTCTCAATAGTGAATTGGATGTAAAACCACTCACACAAACACTCAAACTTGTCTACAACTACCTCATCTCACCTTTAATGTATATAAATACATCACTTTACCTGCATATACTGTGTATGGACATTCAGCCTATCTGTACTACCCCTGTTTATGATCTGTACATAAACTATATGGAGGGACATTCAACCAACTCCCACCAGCTTAAATGTTAGGGGACTAATAGCTACATCTTACTTGATTCTGTGCCTTCCTCATCATCCAGACTACCTCCCTTTAGGACTGTTGCCTTCATGTCCTTCAGGTCCAGATAACGGAGCAGACGGCCAAGTTTAACCTTGATTCAATATGCCATACACGTAAACAAACAGTCATTAAGTTGAATATAATTGACTATAATGGATTAGAAATGTTTTTATAATTGATTTTTTGTTTTATTCAATGGTTTTACCCAATATATATCTTCCCCTTACAAAAACATATATTAATATCCGCATTGCCTTATATCCAGTACCTTGTCTTTCCTAAGTAGGAACAATAGATCCTCCATACCAATAAATCTGGCACTCCTCAAGGTCGCCACATCACAGGCCTGGTATAGCTACAACAGCAAAGGTCAAGGTCATTGGTGTCAAGGTCTGATACAATTAAAACACTAAAGTTAAGTCTCAACATCATCACCTAACAGACTAAAACAGGAAGTCCATATCACTAGTGTCAACGTCTCAACATCATCACCTAACAGACTAAAACAGGAAGTCCATATCACTAGTGTCAACATCTCAACATCATCACATAACAGACTATAACAGGAAGTCAGGATCATTGGTGTCAACGTCACAACATCATCACATAACAGACTATAACAGGAAGTCAGGATCATTAGTGTCAACGTCTCAACATCATCACCAAACAGACTGAAACAGGAAGTCCATATCATTAGTGTCAACGTCTCAACATCATCACATAACAGACTATAACAGGAAGACCATATCACTAGTGTCAATGTCACAACATCATCACATAACAGACTATAACAGGAAGTCCATATCACTGGTGTCAACGTCACAACATCATCACATAACAGACTATAACAGGAAGTCAGGATCATTAGTGTCAACGTCACAACATCATCACATAAGACTATAACAGGAAGTCAGGATCATTAGTGTCAATGTCTCAACATCATCCCATAACAGACTATAACAGGAAGTCAATATCACTAGTGTCAACGTCACAACATCATCACATAACAGACTATAACAGGAAGTCCATATCACTAGTGTCAACGTCACAACAACATCACATAACAAACTATAACAGGAAGTCAGGATCATTAGTGTCAACGTCACATCATCACATAACAGACTATAACAGGAAGTCAGGATCATTAGTGTCAACGTCTCAACATCATCACATAACAGACTATAACAGGAAGTCAGGATCGTTAGTGTCAACGTCTCAACATCATCACATAACAGACTATAACAGGAAGTCAATATCATAAGTGTCAAACTTGTCAAGGTCACCATATCCCATTCCTCAAACAAGAGGCCCAGAGGGCCTGTATCGCTCACCTAGAAATGTTAACAAAATTGAAGATGAAATAGCCAGATGTTGCTGCACATGTATTATATGGTTAGTTAGGGGTTATATTTATATACAATTGGACAAAACGCTGTCATTCCTACAGGAAAAGGAGGATTTTGAAGAATTTGCTATGTTTCAATATTGGGCCCCGCCCCTCTGCCCCCAGGGTGTTCAGACCCAGTGTTGATACAAAATTAGCTCCCTTTCACCCAAGGATGCTTTAGACCAAATATGGACATAATCCTGTCATTCATACAAAAGAAGAAGATATTAAAGCTATTTTTCTATTTTCCCTATTTGGCCCCGCCCATCTGCCCCAAGGGGTTAAAACCCACAGTTTATACAAAATTGGTTCCTCTTCACCCAAGGGAACTTCGTCCTAAATTTTGACAAAACCCTGTCATTCCTACAAAAGAAGAAGTATTTTGAAGAATTTGCTATGTTTTCCCTATTGGGCCTCGCCCAATACCCAACGGGAGTCAGACCCAACATTTATACAAAATATAGTCCCCTTCACCAAAGGATGCTTTAGACCAAATATGGACAAAATCCTGTCATTCCTACAGAAGGAGAAGAATTTTAAAGAATTTGCTAAATTACCCTTATTTGGTACCAACCCTCAGGCCCCAGGGGGGGTCACACCCACCATTTATACAAAATTGATTTCCCTTCCCCATAGGATGCTACTGCTAAATTTGGTCAAAATACCTTCATCCGAACAAAAGAAAACGGATATTAAAGCTATTCTTCTATATCCCTTATTTGGGGGAGGGGGGAGGGTCAGGCCAACTGTTTATACAATGTTTGTTCCCCTTCATTAAAGGGTGCTTCATATCAAGTTTGGACAAAATCCTGTCGTTCCCACAGAAGGATTTTGAAGAATTTGCTCTATTTCCCCTATTGGGCCCCGCTCTCAGGGGGGGAGGGGGTACACTCACTGTTAATACAAAATTGAGTCCCTTTTGCCCGAGGATGCTACAGACCAAATTGGGATGAAATCCCTTCTTCCCTATGGTAGAAGAAGGATTTTAAAGGTTTTACCTTTATTTCTCCTATTCGGCCCAGCCTCTCTGCCCCCAGGGGGGCCACATCAACCATTTATACAAAATTGAGTCCCCTTGGTGCGCGATGCTCCAGACTAAATTAGAATAAAATCCCATAATCCCTACAGTAGAAGAAGGATTTTAAAGGTTTTACCCATATTTCCATTATTTGGCCCTTCTGCCACCAAGGCCGGGGGGGGGGGGGGGGGGGGCACACCCACCGTTTATACAAACTGAGTCCCCTTGGCCTAAGGACGCTCTAGATCAAATTTAGTTAAAATCTACTTGGCCGTTTAGGACTAGTAGCTTTTTAAAGGATAAGTTGATGGCCACGTACGGACTGACGACGGACGCTGCAGTATGGCATAAGCTCAACATGGTCCTTCAGGCCAGGTGAACTAACAAGAGGCCGAGAGGAGGGCCTGTATCGCTCACCTGTTTCTTTTGTTACATGCAACTGACATACAGGAAACTTAAGATCAAATTTGGTAACTAGAACACAAGACATTTTAACATCTCTTAAACGGTTCTGAAGATATTGTTGTTTGAAACTTGAAATTTTAATGTCAAAACTTTTAACTCATATTGACCTTTGACTCCCGACTTACATTTAAAGTTGACCTTTGACCTCATTACTGTAATAAAGAAAACAATTCACACAGCTGGTCTACATAACATACCCAAGTATCATAACTCTACTCCAAATGGTTCTTAGGATATTGTTGTTTGAAGTTTTTAACATAATTGACACCAGTGACCTTGGAAGTAGGTCAAGGTTATTTTAATGAGGAAAATATATATCACACTTTATCCCAGGTACCTACTGGCCAAATATCATGACCCTGAGCCTTATGGAAATTGAAAAGAAGATTGTTAAAGCCTTTGACTCATGTTGACCTTTGACCCCAACTTGCACTTAAAGTTGACCTTTGACCTCATAGCTGTAACTGAGAAAAATATTCACACTGCTGATCTACATAACATACCCAGGTTTCATGACCCTAGTCCTTGGTTCTTAGTTTTTAACATATTTGACCGCTGTGACCTTGAAAGTAGGTCAAGGTCATTTTAATGAGGTAAATTTATAGCACTCCATCCTTGGTACCTACTGGCCAAATGTCATGACCCTGGGCCTAATGGAACTTGAGAAGAAGATTGTTAAAGATTTTAACCAAAGTTGACATTTAAACCCCACACTAGCATTTAAAGTTGACCTTTCAATCTCATAACTGTAATGAGAAAAATATTCGCACTGCTGGTCTACATAACATACCCAAGTATCATGACTCTAGTTCAAATGGTTCTTAGGATATTGTTGTTTGAAAATTTTCACATATTTGACCACTGTGACCTTGAAAGTAAGTCAAGGTCATTTTAATGAGGAAACTTTATAGCACTTCATCCCAGGTACCTACTGGCCAAATATCATAACCCTAGGTTCTACTGTTCTTCAGAAGAAGTCGTTCCAAAGAAAAAGTTGACGGACGGACGACTGTTTAAGGAAACCTAAGGTCATTATTGTCAAAACTTCAAGCCTGTCAAACCACAAAGTAACATAGCTATACTTAACAGGTCAAGGTCAATAACATCTAAGTCTCAAGGTCACTTCATCACAAGATTGATAAAGCTGTAACAGGTAAAATCAAGGTCATTAATTCAAAACCACACATGACAAGCCCAACACAGCTACAGTCAACAGTATCCAGACAGTGGATGATAATCTGACCAGCAAGTGTGACCAGAGGCTGTAATGTAAGATAAGACTTACCAGTGCTGACACCTGTTGGTGAACGATCTCTTCAACAAGCAGAGCTGTGTCATTGAGAGGCTTCCTACAGTCACCAAACCCATGCCTGCAGTATACAATTGACTTAGTATATGTATTAAGAGTAACTTGGCCCATGCCTGCAGTATACAGTTGACTTAGTATATGTATTGAGGTGGCTCTACACATTGTCATTAGTGTCCATTTTGTGACATCCTACCAAAAAAAGTACAGCGGACTCAATTGTCTCTATCAAAATGTGTATGTACACCGTGTCGTCATTTCAGTATTGCGTATCGGGTATTTCAATACCGTAATGTAATTTATAGCAACACCTGGTAAACAACAATACATGTGCGCGACGATGATTTGCCAACAACTGATATCAAGATTTTACTGGGAAATGTGTACTTAAAAATAACGCTTCCGATAAAAGACATAAACTGACTCCCGGGGAAGACACTGACATAAGACCACACGACTTCCAGGAGGTCATATATGAAGTGCATGGAATGCAGACTGATGTGTTTTGTGTATCAACCTCACATGATTACATGAGTTCACAAGCTCGAGGTCGTTCCGATTTTCGCTGCCGTGCGAATTAAGCTCTGTCGAGTAAATCGCTTTTACAGTGTGGATGCACGTGAGAACAGCATACCATGCGATAGCCTCTGGTTAAATATGTACCTGACATATAATATACCATGCGCTAGTGGGCTCTAGAATGATGTCCAATGTGTACATGATTGAGTGAATTGGTTCCGTAAAAGATCAATAAATTGACATTTTTGATATCACAATTTTAATTCATTTGCATCTTTTTTAACCCTTAGGCTGCTACGCGCCACAATAGTCGTTTCTAAAAGTCGGGCCGTCAGTGCTACGCACCACGATAGTGGTCTGTAGGTTTTTGGTCAGTAAACAGGAAGTGTGAAAGCGGACTGTTGCTATACCAAACCCGAAAGCGTATAGTAGAAGGCTTCTGATTGGTTGTTTTGTCATTACTTTCGATATTCCCGGCAATGTACCCTAGTAATAATCAAAGTGTGCATGAAATTCAAATCGGAAAAAAACGTCATAAAAATGGCAGACGTGTAGATTGAAGTGATGAATATGATGGTAAACATTTATTCTCTAGCGTCACCTACGATGATAATAAAGGTTTTAAAGGGTTTGACATGGTTGATGTGGAAATACTTCGGTGTTACATAATATGTAACTTTCCAATGAACGGCTTTGTGCCCTACACAAACATGAAAAAATCGGCGGACCGAGGCGCACATGTCGTCTGCAGGTAAGGTCGAATTGAACATTGACATTGATACGTTTTGAGCCGATTGATTTCTGCAAACTATTTATCGATGATTTAATCATAAACTAGACCGTACACTGGTGGACCCTTACCGTGAATTTTTGTCATTTTTTCGTTTAATTTTCAAAAATCGTTTAGTTGTTCTCTTTTTGTGTGTATTTTTTGGATTATCGTTTATATTTGACGAGCCACCGTTTATTGTTTAAACCGACGTTTATTCTTCGAAGACTTGTGTTTAATTTTGAGTATAACCATTTGTTTTTAAAACAGAGTGTTTGTTTCATATCTGCATGTTAACTTTTCACAGAACAGAGTGTGTTTTATACCTGCATTTTTACTTTTCACGGAACAGTGTTTGTTTTATAAATGCATGTTTACATTTCAAGGAACAGTGCTTGCGTTTCAGGGAACAGTGTTATGTTTTGGGGGAGCGTTGACCTCTCGCGGCAAATCGTTTATTTTTAGCAGAAATCGTTTAATTTTTGAATATCTTTTGTTCTGTCGGGTTCTTTCATGTCTGCCGACCGGCCATGCTCTCGTCCGCGACAGGCTTATCTTATCGGCAGTGTAGCTGCTCGCACCAGTCAAGTTTACCTGTGCTCGGTCAGAGCGCTCACCCGTGACGTACGTAGCCGTTGGCTACCGGTAGTCTGAATCGTAAAAAGCACCGCTGTAACTGGTTCGTCATTTTCCATTGCATGCATTAAAAGTGACGTTTCTGTTACTAAACACACGATTAATCCTTTGTTCTACACCACCAACATAAAGTGGGCGTTTTCGTTGTTTTACGAAACGTTAGTTTTATTGTACAACATGATCATCGAATCAATGTACCCAAAGTACGTGTTTTATTGTATATCATGATCAGCGAATCGATGTACCTCAAGTATGTGTTTTATTGTACAGTATGATTTAAATACAAGTGAATCAAACTAACCTTAGTACGTGTTTCATTGTACTCCCCTAACAAATTAACGTACTCCTGGATTATTATTTTACTCGTGGCTTTATTTTACCCCCTTTATTTGCCTGTGCTCCGCGGCAACAGGATCTGCGCCGGCGGTCAGCTAGGCCTTTGATCTAACCGAGTAGTAGCCTGTCGACCACTTCGAGCTGCCGCGGGCGGTGTCAAGCATCACCAGGTAGCTCTGTTCATGTGTGAATACTTGTCTGTTGACAGCTCGCCTCATAATCAACAAAGTGTCTGTGCTTTGTTAACCTATGATAATTTGGTGTAATCAGAATTAAACTATAGAACTGTGCCGTATTTGTAATTTACTTCGGCTGTGTCTGTTAAAATATGTTTACTAATTACTCGATTTGTAATAAAAAAAAATAATTAAATGAATGTGTCGTGTTTGTACTTTGTTCGGCCTGATGATCTGAAATACGTGATTATTAAACACTCGATTAATATGTCAGATTAAAACTATAAAACTGTGCCGTGTTTATAATTTACTTCGGCCTGGTGTTTTGAAATACATGTTTGATACATACTCGATTTGTATGTGAAATTCAACTTTGAAACTGTGCCGTGTTTGTTACATACTCGAACAGTACCGTTAAAATACATGTTTAAGTATTCCATTTATATGTCAAAATAAAACTATGGAATTGGGCCGTGTTTGTACTTTATTCGGCCTAACGGTCTCAAATACGTGTTTATTAAACACTCGATTAATATGTCAAATTAAAACTATAAAACTGTGCCGTGTTTATAATTTACTTCGGCCTGGTGTTTTGAAATACATGTTTGATACATACTCGATTTATATGTGAAATTCAACTTTGAAACTGTGCCGTGTTTGTTACATACTCGAACAGTACCGTTAAAATACATGTTTAAGTATTCCATTTATATGTCAAAATAAAACTATGGAATTGGGCCGTGTTTGTACTTTATTCGGCCTAACGGTCTCAAATACGTGTTTATTAAACACTCGATTAATATGTCAAATTAAAACTATAAAACTGTGCCGTGTTTATAATTTACTTCGGCCTGGTGTTTTGAAATACATGTTTGATACATACTCGATTTATATGTGAAATTCAACTTTGAAACTGTGCCGTGTTTGTTACATACTCGAACAGTACCGTTAAAATACATGTTTAAGTATTCCATTTATATGTCAAAATAAAACTATGGAATTGGGCTGTGTTTGTAATTTACTTCGACCTGGTGTTTTGAAATACGTGTTTGTAACATAATCGAACTGTGCCGTTAAAATACATGTTTTATACACTCCATTAATATGTCAAATACAACTATGGAATTATGCCGTGTTTGTAATTTACTTCGGCCGTGTCTGTTGAAATATGTTTGCTTATTACTCGATTTGTAATAAAAATATAATTAAATAAATGAGTCGTGTTTGTACTTTATTCGGCCTAATGGTCTCAAATACGTGTTTATTAAACACTCGATTAATATGTCAAATTAAAACTATAAAACTGTGCGTGTTTATAATTTACTTCGGCCTGGTGTTTTGAAATACATGTTTGATACATACTCGATTGATATGTGAAATTATACTTTGAAACTGTGCCGTGTTTGTTACATACTCGAACAGTGCCGTTAAAATACATGTTTAAGTATTCCATTTATATGTCAAAATAAAACTATGGAATTGGGCCGTGTTTGTAATTTACTTTTTGGTGTTTTGAAATACGTGTTTGTAACACACTCGAACTCTGCCTTTGAAATAATACACTCCATTAAAGTGTCAAATTAAACTATGGAATTGTGCCGTGTTTGTAATTTACTTCGGCCTGGTGTTTTGAAATACATGTATGATGTTTTATACACTTACTATGTCAAAATTAAACTATGGAATTGTGCCGTGTTTGTTATTTATATCGACCTGGTGTTTTGAAATACATTTTTGTTATGCGTAACCACTCTGACATTCCCACTTTACATATTGATATATTATCTGCAAAACAGTGTAAGTAAGGACAGCAACCAATATGTGTTGTATGGGTTAAGTCATCAATCGACAAAAAAAAGACATCAATCCTTAGTAAGAGAAGTTATACCTTCAAGACTGAATAACGGAAATCGTATTCCGTGCCTGCATTAACTACATTCAATGTACACTATAACTTTTAGCTAAGGTATAGTAATATACAGTTGACACATCTAAATATCTTACCTGTGAATTAAAAGGTATGTTAATTACCTGTACTTCTTACCACATTATACTATAGCCAAGGGGCATTTACGATTCCTACCTGTGAGTTAACAGGTGAACTAATTACCTCAGAGGTGTTACCTGTGAATGTCGTGGCCAAAGGGCATTTACAACCAATCCTCCAACTAACACAGGTAGTATTGTGTACCGGCGCGTTTCTTTTTGTTTCCAGTGTTGGAAGAAAACATGTTGTCGAAAGTATTAAAGTAAATTTCAACAGCGGTTAAATGTATTTTACATGCGTTTTTACATTAGGCTAGTGGCCTAGTGCCTTGACTTACGAATTAGATTAGATGTAAGTCCGTGGTATAATATACGATATTCGGTTGTTTTTTTTATAAAAAAGCACGTATCTCAAAACACCAGGTCGAAGCAAATTGCAAACACGGTACAGTTTTATAGTTTTATCCGACATATTAATGGAGTGTATTATTTCAACGGCACAGTTCGAGTGTGTTATAAACACGTATCTCAAAACACCAGCATATTTATGTTTAAAAAACCCAGATCGAAGTAAATTTCAAACACGGCACAGTTCGAGTATGTAATAATAATAATAATCTTTATTTAACGTCGTGTACAATTGTCAACAACAAACATAAGCTCTGTAGAGCTTTTATTACGCCGCCGCTAAGGGAACAAATGGTGTTTTCGTGGTGGAGGAAAACCCACGGGGGGGGGAGCGAGTGGTCTGAAGCTCACGCTTGATAGCACACAGTAGTACAATGACTGTGCGCGTTAGCGATCAGGGCTACCGGCTACCGGCTACCGGCTACCGAGGCAATCGCGTATCTCAAAACACCAGATCGAAGTAAATTACAAACACAGCACAGTTTTATAGTTTTAATTTGACATATTAATCGATTGTTTAATAAACACGTATTTTAGACCATCAGGCCGAATAAAGTACAAACACGACACATTAATTAAATATATTTTTATTACAAATCGAGTTATAAGCAAACATATTTCAACAGACACGGCCGAAGTTTTTACTGTTCTGCCTCAGACTTGGACAGACAGATAACAGAGTTCCTCAAGATACTGCTCCATCTTTATTGGATCTCGTAAAACTACAAGGCATGAATTATAAACACTTTTACCATTTGCTGTACACAGAATAGCATGTATGTTTCAAATTTCACAATTAAACTTTATCAAATTAAACAAAACTGTCTTTGTTATTTATTCAATGTAAATGTTTACCAAATTAAATATGTTCAATTCGACAAATATCTCAACTATTAACCATATATCTGATTCGCTTTATATTACATTTTGTCCATATAAAATATGAATAAACTTAAGGTTTGGCAAATTGATATCACTGATAGTTGGATTTACATTTGCACCAAGTAAACATTATTCTATATTATTAAACTTACACTGGGTGGGCCTATTATTACAATACGGAGGTGCCTCTCCGGATACAATGTGGTAGAGTGTCACTAGTAGGTATACATGTACACTGCAATTAACATAAACAGACTATCAAAGAATCTGGACACAAATGAATACCGTATCTACTCAATACTAAGCCCAAATTACACATCAGAATTATGTGTCAATATTACTCAATATTTAAATTGAATTACCAAAAAGCTCAATGAAATATGTGCCATTATACACACATCTGCTAAACATAATTGGAAAATAATAAACAACACAATAGGGCCAAACCTTACCATAGCTAAAGACCAGGGCTGCCAGCCGAGTAAGTACGGTAACATGTGTACGAGACGTAAACAACTAAAGGGTTATATCAAACATCATGACAGGGGCTAGCATTCTATTGGAATGTTTAATACTGTCACTAGATTCCCATTACTGTTCAGAACTTTCATGAATAGTTATCAAGACACAGCAAATGAATCAACAACATTCTCTGTATACGAAAACAATGTTTGGGGACGAAACGTCTTGATCAGTTCAAACCGCGCTTAGATAACTGAAATATGCAGAATACTGCAATTGACAAACGTTTCTGCTTATACACAAAGGTAAATGGGTCATTTCTGCATATACTGTTTATATGTCCTGTACTAAAACTTACACCATCCGATATAACGGTCACAAACAAGTCACAGCTTTTCAATCTGGAACCATGCCGCTTTTTCATCAAGGGAGGTAATGCAGTCACACGATAGTTTTAGACACAAACACGGAATAACGTTCCGGCACACTCCCCGTCTGATATTGAAGATATCACTATTTACACAAGAATGAGGAGTCTGTTTGTTCTTCATATACCTATATATCTTGCAAAAGAACAACCATCTCGTTGATTGGTCGCGTCAGTAGCGTTGTTCCACCATCCTTGACAATGTTGACTTCCGCCTTGCGAACTTTGTTGTCACAGTCACTCTTGAATGTCCTTTGTACAACCCCCATGGCCCAACTGCAACGTGGGGCCGACTTGTCCCGAAGAAGGATGACGTCCCCCTCCTTGACTTCACGCTGATCATCCCTCCATTGTTGCTGAAGAACGTGTAGCCTGGTCTGATGGATTGTCGTGAGTAGAGACATATGACCACTGTGATGGTTTAGAGCTTCGAAGTATCCTCTCCACGCGATTGGCCACGTATGTGTAGAATCGCCTAGTTCTGTTATTAATGTAGCCCAGGACAACTCGACTGTCACTATGATATCTGACATCTTTGGTCCCAAGAGTTTCACAAACAAATTCACCAATTTCCACCGCTAAGACCGCAGCGCACAGTTCCAATCTGGGAATCGTATGACCTTTGGAAGGAGCCAGCTTGGCCTTTCCCATGACGAACCCAACGTGTGAACAATTGTCCAAGTAGATTTGCAAGTATGCGACCGCGGCAACAGCTAACTCCGAGGCGTCACAATACACATGCAACTGAACATTATTTGCCGTGCTTGTAGAAACAGGCGTGAACATTCGAGGAATCTGAGTGTCCTTTAACTTCTCTAAGGATGTTTTCCAGTTGCTCCATTTGTTTTGGTAAGTGATAGGTAGAGGAGCATCCCAATCTGCTCCGGAAGTTAGTTCCCTTAACAATATCCGGCCTTGAATAGTGAATGGAGAAAGAAAACCAATGGGGTCAAAAATGCTGTTTAATGTCGACAACATCTCTCTACGAGTTTCTGAATGCTCAGGCAGCTGTACATGAAATTGGAAGGTATCCGAGGCTAAGTTCCATGATACGCCAAGGCTGCTCTGAGTAGGTAATCCTTCCTCTTGAACATCAAGTGACTTGAGCTCCTCACCCAAATCATCCACGGGGAATGACTTGACAACCTCAACGCTGTTAGATATGACTTTATGTAGCCGAATATTGCCATTCTGTTGCAGAGCCGCCTGTGTTCTTTTCACGAGAGTTGCCAACTCCTTGGCATCTGGGCCGGATCTTAAAGCATCATCAACATAAAAGTCATTTCTGACGAAATTCTGAACGTCGTCATCTGCTTTTTCAACAGCCTTACGAAGAGCAAAGGCAGCCACAGCAGGAGAGGGGCTGTTCCCGAAAGCGTGTGCACGCATCCTATATTCTATCAAGTCAAGATGTGGGTTGTTGTCACGGTACCACAGAAAGCGTAGATAATCCCGGTGTTCCTCCTTCACCAGAAACCGATAAAACATCTGTTCCACGTCTGCAGACACCGCATATGTATCCTTCCGAAAACGTAGAAGAATGGCAAGCAAGCTGTTGGTCAGGTTAGGACCTGACAGCAGGTTCTGGTTCAGTGATGTTCCCTTGAACTCTGCTGATGAGTCAAACACCCCTCTAACTTTTCCTGGCTTTTTTGGGTTATACACTCCAAAGATAGGGAGGTACCACACCTCTCCTTGTGGGGAAGGTGCAACCTCAGCAGCACCAGAATCTATGACCTTCTGCATGAAAGAAATGAAATGATCTCGTTTGAGGTTGTCCTTCTTTAAGCTCTTGTCAAGAATCATAGCTCGCTTTAAAGCTACTGATCTGTTGTTGGGCATTTTCATCTCTGGATCACGAAAGGGTAAAGGTGCAGTCCAGAAACCATTCTTGTCCTGAATGCACTCCGAATTCATAAGTTCCAAAAACTCTCTGTCCTCAACAGACCATGCCGGTTTCTCGTCATCCTTAGTTTTGTTGAATAATGGATCGTATTGAATGTCTTCCTTCAGGCAGATATTGTGTTTGCATGGAGTAAATATTGATGCACGGCCATTCACAACGTTTGTTTTAAAAGAACTGATACTGACTGGACCAACAGGAGGATGAACTTTGTTCAGGCAGACTTCACCAACTACAACCCAACCCAATCCTGTCCTTTGTGCAAAAGGAGTTCCACGCGGTCCTGTGATTTGCTTCTGCACATGGTGTACTTCTGGGAGGTCTCTACCTATTAACAGACCAACTGAACAGTCTGATCTATATTCTGGAATAGACGTGATGATCTCATCAAGGTGACTGAAGTGACGAACAATTTCAGGTGTGGGTATCTCTGAATCATCGCTAGGGATATCATTGCATTCAAGCAAAGGAGGTAAAGCGAAGCTGTTGGAACTGTTGGAACCTTCACTTGACCGAATGACTAGACCTTTAGCCTTCCTACCAGTCGACTTGAATTTTCCCGAACATGAAGACAACGTGTACTCTATTTCCTCACCAGTGACTTCTAAGGAATCTAAAAGCTCACTTGAAGCTAGCGAACGGTTACTCTGGTCGTCGAGAAGAGCATACGTGGCAACGGCTTTACCTGGCTGGTTCTCTGACAACACTTCAACCAAAACGATTTTGGCACAAGACCGGCCTTGAAAACGTCCTCCACAGACTGAGGTGCATTTGCTGTTGACCGTTTGAAGACCCTCCCCGCCATGCAACATTTCCACTTTAGAAGAGTTTTCCTTCTGGAGAGCCTCCCCACTACGAGATCCTTCTGCCTTAGAGGATTTGTCCCGTTTATTGAGACCTGAAGAGTTGTCCCGAGGCTGATGAAGAGCCGTGATATGTTTCTTGCTGCCGCACGTAAGACACTTTACTTCAGCCTTGCAGTCCCTAACAATGTGTTTGTCAGTAGCGCAACATTTATAACAAAACGAATTGTCCTTCACAAGCTTCAAACGCTCTGGGAGCGTCTTCTTGAGAAATTCTCTACAATCGCCTAAAGTGTGCGTGCGACTGTCAGGATGAATAGGACATCTCTCAGATGTCTGAACAGGCATCTCCTTTTGGATATCAGTCCTTTTAACATTGACACCTGGGCCACGGTTGGACTGCGACTGCTGGGTGCCGACGCCTCGTCGGCTATGTCCCATGTCTGAATAGCTCACTAAGCCAGGATCATTCATGAGAAGTGCCATGTCCCTCACAAATGACACAAAGTATGAAAACGGGGGAAAGGCGACATGGTTATTACGCTTCTAGGCAAAGGCTCGATCAGACCACTTTGACTGGGCTCGTGGGGGTAATTTGGCAACTACTGCCCTTACGCCTATGGGGGAATCATAATATGCTAAAATTGGTTGGTAATTTGGGTTGTCCTTCAGCACAAGAATTTCTGTAAGCACATCTGCTAATTCGTACATCCTTGCTTTTTCGACAACTTTTGGAAATTTGTCCAACTTTGCCTTTAGACATGCTTCTATGATCTCAGGGCTGCCATAACGCTCATCAAGGCGGTCCCAAAGTAACCTTTTCCCTTGTCTTCCACGATATATATGTGTCCGGTCTATCATTGAATGTAGTGAGCCGGGATGAAGAAAGTTCTTTGCGCACCAAGTAATTTACTAAAGAGGGCACAGCCTCATCCTTCACTCGAGGTGTGTTTTGAGGAATATGATTTACTGGTGGAACATAATTGTTGCAAAATAATTCCCTTGGGAGGAACGGTGGTGCTGTGGCCTGTAAAACACCTGGGTTCGCAACGTTCAATTGTGAGGCAACATAGGCCCTTGTTTGCTCATAAGAGCTTTCAGCATTCTTAGGCAGTGAAATGTTGGAATTCCCTGACTGGCTACCTCCTTGTAAATTTGCAAAATCCTCATAAACTTCTGCCTCAGCTTCAGCTTCAGCACAAACCTTTTCTTCTTTAACCAGGTTAAGGTCTACATCAAGTTCTTGTCGCTTGCGTTGTGCTCTAGCATGAGCATGTGCTTGTTCTTCATCCAACTCTGCTTGCTTCTTAAGAATCAATGCTTCCTTTTGCAGAAATTCTCTTGACGCCCTGGCCTTCTCTGCCTTTGCCCGTGCTCTTCTTGCTTCAGAGCTGGCATTGGACTTGGCTGATTGATGACTGTTACAGTAGCGGGATGACCGAGTACATCTTTCGCTGAGTGCTTCAGTCCTTTCATCAAGCTGCCTTAGCATCCCTGTCACAATATCATCAGACCAGGCTACACGTTCTTCAGCAACAATGGAGGGATGATCAGCGTGAAGTCAAGGAGGGGGACGTCATCCTTCTTCGGGACAAGTCGGCCCCACGTTGCAGTTGGGCCATGGGGGTTGTACAAAGGACATTCAAGACTGACTGTGACAACAAAGTTCGCAAACATATTTCAACAGACACGGCCGAAGTAAATTACAAACACGGCACAATTCCATAGTTTTATTTGACATATTAATGGAGTGTATAAAACATGTATTTTAACGGCACAGTTTGATTATGTTACAAACAAGTATTTCAAAGCACCAGGTCGAAGTAAATTACAAACACGGCCCAATTCAATAGTTTTATTCTGACATATAAATGGAATATTTAAACATGTATTTTAAAGGCACTGTTCGAGTATGTAACAAACACGGCACAGTTTCAAAGTTTAATTTGACATATTAATCTAGTGTTTAATAAACACGTATTTCAGATCATCAGGCCGATTAAAGTACAAACACAACATTTTTTTATTATTTTTTATTATTACAAATCGAGTACAGTACATTTCACTTAATATCACGTCTGTTAATGTCACTTTTCGGTTATTATCATGTTTTTTTGATACACCGTTTTTCCTGCTATATAATCTATGCAATTCAATTCTTTTATTATCACCTGATTTTATGTCGATTTCTCTTAATATCACTTTATTTTGGCCACTGTCCCCAAAAAAATACAGGTAAACGGTGGTAATGATTCATGATAAATGCCCTGGGGACCTTCTGTCACACCCTGACCGCATTATGTAAACAATGCCTCGGTCTAACAGGGTATTTTTTACACCTGGCTGACTGNTTACACCTGGCTGACTGTTAAACAATAGGTTACACCTGGCTGACTGTTAAACAATAGGTTGACTTACATACTTGTTAACATGATATTCACCTGTGGTTAGGGGAGCTAGGACAGTCTAACATCAGTAAACTTTTCTAAT